TAGCCAATACATCCTTAAGTAACATGACGAAGATATTAAAGAAAAATTGTACCAATGCTATGAACGTGAACGCGGTCTCTATGTTACTCGACCAGCTGACAACAAGTAAACATAAAGCAGTATTAAACATACAGGATAAGCTAAAGTGAGAAAAATTATTGACTGATCATTTCATTATAAAGAGAAAAATTTTGATATAATGAATTCCTATGCATACACGACATGTTCTGATAAAATCATTAAATAAGATATTGTACATATGTATGTGCTACTTCTTACTCACTCATCCTGTATAAAAGGAAGATTGTTGGTAAAATGGCAATTAATGATCTCAATGATAGATTGCATAAAGTTCAAGCATATTCAAACTTCTGACTCACAAAAGTGGCGATTAGAGCCATCGACATGCTCGACATCATTGCGAACACCGTTTGTACTATTAATTGTACGACGACGACGATCTCGTAGAAGGGTGATTCGGTCGCCTCGAACGGCAACTCCATTCTCAACAAGAATTTCTTGTTCACTAATTCGTTCTGAGCTTCTGTCTCCTCGTCGGAAGCGAGGAAAATACTAGCCGTGTACAGGAAGATACTGGATAAAAACATAATCAGCAAATACTTGGCGATTCGATATGACAGAGTGACTTTTCGAATCATTAACTCCATGTTCCATTCAGATTTCCGATCGTTCCAATCGTCTGTCATCGTTAACACCGTTTCGGAAAACATTCTGTATAAAACAGCACTAAAAATGTACCGACTATTTTCTTTTTTAGTAAAATATTTTCATGCTAATTAGCAATCTGCGCTTGTATCGTACCGATTATAGAACCAAATAATAACAAACTTTACAAAGAGAAGAGTATTAGAGAGTGTAATACTCATTCCGTCTAGGAAATCCACCAGTACATCAGTTTTCACATGAGTTATACAGTACCAATATTGGAATATCAAGAATGTTAACATGATCGTGGTCCAGAGAATATATTTCAATATTCGGTATGAAGAATTGGGCCAAGCGCCGATTAAACGAAGACTAATTTCCACCGGTCGGCTGATTATACTCTTCATCGCCATGAGTATCGATACTTACGTTTACCAGAATGCAAGCGTATCAGCTAATTAGATGCTGCCTACAGAGATAAATGCACACGCGATAAAATATAATAAATATCTGTTGGGGAAAATTATATCCGACAAATAGAGTATTCATTTGTGAAGTATGGAACTCTATACGTTACGAAATTGCGACATTTTACATGGTGTTGCACCAGTTCACTAATAGAGACGTTTCAATAAATTCGCATTGTCGACTCACTCACATGCATTATCCATTTGAGTGACTAATTCCTAATTCTTCTTTCTGAGTATTTCAGTTTTCGTGTTTATCACTGATAGAACACATTTGTACAATAATATCGGTTGCTGTTTTTTACATATTAATATTTCTGTATACAGAATTCTACTACCGTTTCTGGGTATTGAAATAGGTACGAATCACTGTTGAACGGTTTTAATGCAACTGGAGAATAAATTCGTATGATTGGTAAAAGAAGAAGAGAAATAAAAACGGTTGGAAAAGTTCTATAAATGACCGAAGTGATTTTCGCCCTATCCATAATGTAACGTAGCCAGCCATTAAAGAGAGCCAATGCTAGCCTGATAATAGCGTCCTATCTACATAATAGCATGCGTAACGCGATCAATTACCGTCTAAAAAAGAATGTAGAGAACAATATTCTTTCTTCAGAATTAAATGTTATTTCGCATCATTTGAATGCGAAATCTTTATCGATTTTAAAGAGCACGTGCACAGATCAGGAACAGTATTATTCATTGTCTTCAAGAGAACGAAAGATAATGGGTATGTAAAACACAATATTATTGGAAGAGGAGTTCAAATAACAGAATAGTTGAAATTTTCATTTATTCTGAGAAACCAAATGAAAAATCGTCTTCAAGTCCTCTAATACATGGCGTACAAAACTGAGACATATGAAGCACAGGCTTTCAACATCTAGAAATATTATTTCATTACTACTTATGCATATTTAATTAAATCTTAGTATAAACGTAAATCTCCAAGTATCTTACGTTAGCAAATGCTTCCAACGAAAGATCAACGAATTTGCCCGCCGTCAGTGTTAATTGCTTTTGCGATCTCATTATAATTAACAATATGAGCCTGGCTTCCTGCGGTTTCAGATCGTACCAAAGGGAATTATACACTGCTTTCGTGATTACTCCACTCTAAAACAATTAGGTACGATAAGATATAGCATAATATCATTAGTTTTGTTTGTTACCTTCGAGGTGAGGTATTCGCCAGTGTAGCACAGAATAAACGCTTCGCAGTTAATTGCGACGTAATAAGGGAAGCATTTCATTATTAAACCTGCGGCTTGTCCTGTACGAAAAGACTTCACATATTTCAATTTCATTATTATTTGCCTGCTGCTATTTTCATTTTTTGTTTTATCGACTAGATCATGGACTTTTATACATATTATCACGAAAAGATGAAGTGATTGCACAGAAATCCATAATCCAAGTGTCGTTGTTGAATAACTAAAATTCAAATCTACTTACGACCGCTAAAACGAAGCTTATGAAACATATTACCATCATATTCGATAAGAATTGATACAACGATATGTAACTAAAAATCCTCTCAACATTTTGCGATAGTATTATTATCTTCTGATGTTTCGTTATAAATTCTGTAATGGCATTTTTTCGTATTTCATCCTTTTCATTGGACAACGAAATTTTCGTTAATCTCTCGCACAGCACATCCAGCTGACTACCAATGTGCAATATCTAATGTTCCAAAAATTCTTGAAATATCCACGGTTTGTTTTTTTATATGCGTCTGGCATAATTGAAAAAGAGATATTTTTAAGCACTTACTAGAGCTGTGGTTAAACCTATCAAAGTGGCAGCTCCATAAACGATTAACAGTTCGCACAGAAATTGTATAACAAGAATAATTTCATAAGTCGGGGACGTGGTAGCTTCGAATGGAAATTCCATTCTAATTAAGAATTTTCTTTGGTGAGTGATCTCATCTTCGTCTGTCAATGCCAGAGTCGAGCCGGTATATAAAAGAAACGAAATTCCAAAGTAACAGATCAGGAAATTCGAAATCTTTGATGATAGTACTGCGTTATCGTTCATTATTCTTTTATTTTCAATTGAAAGGTGTTGATCATTCCAATCCTTCAAAACTGTAGACAGTATCTTATAAAACGTTCTATAAATTTGATAAGTGTATCTAAATTAAATTCTTAATATATCGTCGATTAGGTGATTAATGTTTCATAATTATTGATTGCTTAATCAAATTTATCAAACATTAATTGACATGATACTTTCAGACCTTACCGCTTGTGAATCCAAATCAAGATTAGTTTGACAAACACAAGTGAATTGGATAGAGCATAACTCAAACCGTCTAGGAGCTCTACTATGCCTAGTTTCGCATGGATAACGCAGTACCAGCATTGAAAAGTAAGGAACGTTAACATTATTATCGTCCATACGACTGTTTTTAATAATTGGAACGAGGTATCTGGCCATACACCGAACATTCGGAGACTGTACTCCAAAGGCTGGTTGATTATTGTTTTTGGACGATCCATTTTCTTAGTCAGAACAATATCGAAATAAAAAAGAGAGAATCTGTAGTTTCAGTGAATAAACAAAAATAATGGAATGTGTCGTACCTTATTTGGACGAACGTCCACGTTACATAGTATCAATCACTTGTACAAGAGAAAGACGTTCGTGCACTGAATAAAGCTCCGGTCTCTTATTCTTCATCGATCAAGAATGAAAGTACCGGTGAAAATAATCTTGGTAGATAAAAAAAGTAATCACGGGTCTCTAGTTAGTATCGATAATAAAAGAAGGGAAATGAGTCTCGACCATTTTTAACTACCGCACTTATACTATAATCTTCATTGTTCCTATTACGCGAATATCATTCTCGGTTTTGTCTCTCATTAAGGATGTATTGGCTATACAGTCAATCCCAAAAGTTTATGCACTTTAGAAACGCATTTTTTAAAAAGAAATCAGACATCGGAAGAACATTGCTAATAATAAACAACAAAAAAAGAATTTTCGTTTTTTCCGAGATTTTTCCAAGGGGTATCCCTTCAATTTCTTCCAAATTTTCGTTTTTTGCCAATAACTCCCAAATCGTTGGACATACGGAAAAATTGTATATGACCTTTCTTGTAG